GATTTGTTATTTCCGAATTTTATAATGTGATTGGCATTAAAAACACGCTCACCTTCAACGAAATTTCCTTTCCGAGGCTTTGTGTCAGCCCAATCACATATTGTGTCAATCCTTATCATTTTATCGTAATTTAAAAACTTGGAAATTGCACGGTACACTATAGGAACTACGATAAATTTTCCCTAATCGGCGCCATGTTTTTAGGCTCCTCCCATTTGATGGATCCCAATAGCATGTATTGAATTCTCTTTAAAAAAAAATTGTTCAGCGAATTTTTTGCGTACTTTTATTAAATCAAGGCAAAATTTCAGATTTTACTTTCTTATCAAAGTAATATCTCAGAATGCTAACAAAAATAAGTGTGTTTTTGATAACAAGCTTGGAGAAACTGTGATAAGTACTAAATTCAATTGTTCAGATTTATTATATTAGGAATAAATGCGTCTAAACAAAAAAGCAATAAAATACATGGGGTTTCGTTTCTATTTAGTATCAATAAATTTAATTTAGTATTCGGTAAATTTTGCTATTCCATCTGTAAATGAATCATGCTTTCCTTTTCCATATTTTAAAATACCGGTAATATTAATTTAGTAAAAAATGCAAACTTACCTGCATGATTTAAAACTTAAGCTCAAGCGCAATTCGACGATAGACAAAATAACAAATGTATAAATTAGACTTATAATGAAGACCATATTCCATGGTATTGTATCTCCATTAAATGCATGGGATATTTTGGGATCTTTGCAGTAAAAACCAGCCGATCTTTTTGATGTGCTCGTAACATTCTTAACGGTATATAAAGTTAGTAGTACTGAAACAAATATTTACCAATAATAAAGCATCGTTGCTTTCAATATTAATAGAACAATAAATGTAGGGCATTTTTATCGTAGATTTGAGTACATATCGATATAGGCTTAATGGAGTAGGTATTAGAAATTTACTATATTTTTGATGGGGCTGAGCCTAACCAGGGGTGTTATGGATATGAAATTTCGGATCGGAATATGGATACGGATATATGAATAATATTATATGGGCTTCAATTACGGTTACGGATATGAAATTATTTTGGATTATCAGATAGTTTTGGATAGTTTCAGTTACAGTGGTTCAATTTTTAAGAAACTGCAAAAAGAAAAATACAAAGACGCAGTTATTTGACTTTATTTTTAAGTTATCATTTGACATTGTGCAATAGTTTGGGTTATGGTTACGGAGTTTCATAGTACTGATGTAACGAGTGTTATAACGGAAACAGAAGCAGTAAATTTTTGCGGAAGCGGAAACAGACGCGGATGCGGACGTGGATGTGTAATGATTTTAGTTACTCTTTAATGGAGTGGTCGTGCGCCGTTTTTGCGAATATTTTGTTACAAATTTTGCATTTGATACTTTCATCGTTAATATTAACAAAATAATTCCAAATAGGACTTTTTGACTTCAAAAGTGCACGTTTCACTTAAAACTTACAACACTAAACAAACATCATACAAAATAAATAAGCCCTATACCTGTGTTAGTATTTTCAAAATGAAATTATTAGGAGAACTGTTAAGGGAGCGTTGGATGTTTTTATTTTAAAATAGGGATCTAATAATAAAATTTGGAAAATATTAAAATACGAAATACTAGGAAATAGATTAAGGCCCTAAACTATAATGAAGTTATTTGCACAAAGACAATATTATTATTAACAATATTTTGCCACCTATAACGTTGCACTTTGTCTCTAATCGTAAACATAAACGGTTGATAAAAATAATGTCCAACATGCAACCCCATAGAAGGCCACATCAGTGCGACTTGTTGTCGCAGTAGAGTGCTCAGTTCTAACTGCGACCGTAGAAGTCGCATGGTCAAAATAGGCAGGGCAGGCTGCAGATGGAATTATCAGCAGTCGTTGGCCATGCGTCGACCAGAGTCAATTGCTGACAATTCCATCTGCCCTGCCCTGCCTTACCTATTTCGACCATGCGACTCCTACGGTCGCAGTTAGAACTGAGCATTCTACTGCGACACCAAATCGCACTGATGTGGCCTTCTAATTCTTTGATGCAACGTACCAACGATCAATACCATTTAAATTGTGTTTTGAAAACGGCCAAGTTCAGACTTGTTTTATTGTTCTGATATATCTATTGATTTTCAGAAAGATGAGAAATAAGAACCAGATGCAAAAGCGGATGTGAAAAATATGCGGAACTTCCGTATAATTGCGGAAGCGGAAGCAGAGGTCTGTTGCAACACTACTCCATAGCATCCCTGAGCCGAATTGTCACTTCATAATCATTTAATAAAAGGTCTCAAAGGTTTCAAGACATTCTTCTCCACATTCGTATGAATGCAGCGCTGGTTTCCAACTAAAAGATGTCCAAGATGGCGCCATGGAAATTCACTTCCGATTTTTAAAATTTTCAATATTTTGTTTTTCTATTGCATTTTGTATTTCAGTATGGTTTTTTAAAAGTATCTTCTGCTTTATCTTTAATATTATTTTCTTTTACTTTTTATTTCACATATAGCTAATATAGTTTCATCAATAAGTCTGTCTGTTATCAATATTTTTTCATCTTGTTTAGTACTTTCAGATTGTAAATAATTTTTTAAATTATTTCTATTTGTTCATGCTTTATTGGGATTATCACAGTCATGTGTTGATTTCAATTTCATCTAAAAACGTTTCTTTAGTTTTGGTATTCATTGCTTTGGGTGTATTTATAGAATTTAGAGTATCTTCTCTCTCCATTGCTGCCATATTATAACCCCGAGTTCAATCAAATTCTCATCATACATCAGATACGTAGTTTATTTTATCAAATAAAATATTCGGTGTATCTTCAGCAATAACGTTCATTTCCATTTGAAGTACACCATCTGGAAGAACTTGGTAAGTTGTAATCGCACAATCAGTATTAGCAACGATACGAGGATGGCGTACTTGTTGATCTAAAACTGTAATAGTAATATGAAATTTGCTCTTAGTAACAACTACCACGTTATGTTCATGTGGTTGTTGTTGAGTTTGAAAGCTATTTTGAATGGACGCTAAGTAATCTATTGCTTCTGAATTGAATGTGTACAAACTACAGTTACTGTACCCATGCTAGATTGCGTGTTATCAAGTACACTCTACAATAAAGGACAAGGTATATTTAGTAAAAGTAAAAGTAAAAAGATGTCTTTTCAAAAATGACTGGTACCATTTTTCTTTTGGTTTATCTTCCTCTTAACATCTGTTATTTTTTCGAGCAGTCGTCAAGTTTTTTTAGTAAAACTATATTTTGCTAGATTAATTAGCAAGTCTTCTAATTTATTTTCTTTCTTATTTATTAACATGGTCTTAGGTTCCATCTTACGCGTTCCTTTATTGACACGATCGTGAACTCTGTCTTGGGTTTTAATGTTAAAATGACCTACTGCTGGACATGGCTGGATTTGGTCGCATTTACCCTATATAAATACTTATATTTTTTAAAATTATTGTTAATTTAATAATCTAATAACTTCATAATTCTACAATGATTTAATTTATAATAATTGAAATATAACTGCAAAGGCAGTTTGTAATAGGTATTAAATTAATTCTAGGTAATAAGAAATACTTCTAAATAATATGTTTAAATACAATAATTATGATATTTTTTAATTATTTAATCGACATGATTTGGTTTTGATCGACCAAAACAATTAACAACAGTAAGTAGGTATTATTTGTTCAAGAAATGTGTACTTAAATAAGGTATCATTGTTACACTATTTTGGAGAGAACCTTACAAAAGTAGAGATAGATAATTCAAGAATCTTGTATTTAAATATTTGTTTGAGAAATGTATTTTGTATTTTATTTAAAGTACTTTTTCGAACGTATTTTCTATTTGTAGAATGAAAATGTACTTCTACAGTTAATAGTTCTGTTAGTATCATCAATCAAACTCACAACAAAGCTCACATTGGCTATTGATGGTATTAGAAGCTTTAAAAAGGAACAAAGAGACATTCCACGAATGTTTTCTAATTCTTTAATCGAAGAGAGCC